GCATTTTAATCTGACTGAGAAGTCTATGCCAATCTGATATTTCTGGAACGTGTTGGAAAACATTTTATATGAAATGATTTCGGATAAAAAAGAAAGTTATGATACTGCATGGACAGTCACAAATGATCATCACTGGAACATCCTTGTGGTTGTTAATCTTCAAGTGCATCTGCTTGCATTTTCTCTATGGTGTCAATTGTGGCAAAGCTTTACTTACAATTTCTGGTTTTTGTGGTGGTACAGTATTCATTTGTATACTTGCATAAGACTTTAGCATGACCTTGTTTGGGAGAGTGGAGATGCATAAGTTATGTGTACATTGTTTAGTTTGATGTGTTTTACCTCACTGTTAAGGCTAATTTGGTGACCATAAGTAAATGATGTTGAGATTGTACCAAGTTTATCCATTGTGATGCCAGGACTCTGAAATGGAAATTGCAAAAGCATAGTATCACCTTCTGTTATTTGTGGTCATCATGTTAGTCTTTAGTATTTTCAAGTGATGTTAGTTGTTCGTGAAATATGACACCAAATTTGATTGAACTAGAGGATGTATGAAAACATTGTTATCCAAATTTAAAACACACACAAACTCTTTGAACAATTCAGAAGGGCAATTCTAAGAAAGTTGTTTTTCGAAAAAGATACTGGAAAAAATAATCAGTACAATTACCTTTAGTTCCAATTTCTTTTCCTTTTGTTAACCACTTGCCTCCGGGGTTTCCGGTACCGGGTACCTTGAGTTTGTACGCATTGCTGGGGGGTGCCAGAAATCGGATAAAGGAGCTGGGCCTTGTAACAAAAGACCGTACTCAAAACAAAGACCTAGCTGCTGGGAAATGCCATCAGTTTTCAGTTGGCATTAGCGGAGATAATCCGTCATTGTTTTGAAACAGTATACCACTGTTTGTGGCATTCAGCACCTACAGATTATCAGTGGGGACAAAAGCGCCCCAGCACTCCAGCGATGAGCGATACAGTACTGCTGCATGCTAATCTGGCTGCATTTGAAAAGACACCACTACCATTCAGCAATGCACCCAGCCATTTTCAAGAACAAAGAAAACTGTGCAACACTGCACAATCTGGGCTCTATTTACTGGCTGAAATATTCGGTGTCAATAGATGTTGCCAGTCAGACTTGAGTAGTCACCAGATAGTCATTCGTGTGGGTGTAAACGTCTAGTAAATGAAGTTACGAATTTTTGAAGAATTTTAAAAATGGAAAATCTTGAAAATCACACAGGAACTCATCCCACATCTGCAAATTCCACCTGGCTGGAAGTGGTTAAAGTTCTTTTTTGTGTATGAATTAAGATTAATGATGAGGTCAGTAACAATGTGACCAAATTTCCTTTCTTAAACTTAAATTTCGCAAAATTTCCAAGTTACTGCAAGATCCTGACATGATCTGAAATGATGTCTGGTTTTCTTATGTCTCCAAAATGCTCTTTTCAATGAGCACTGTGTTCATATATTTATTCCAACTTGGTTGAATAAATGAAATGTCCAGAACTTTTAGCCCTCAGTAAAATATGGCATTATATCAAACGTCAACAAAAATAAATCTTGTGGTTTATGTCGGACTGGTGATGTCATGGGGAGACATATTCATAGCTGGTTTGCACTGCGGCTATCATCGTGGTTGGCACAATGTCACTGTGGCCTTACAATGCACTACAAAAGAACGAAAGTCCCCTTTTGTGCTATTTGATGCCATGCAGAACTAAAGTTCTTGGATGTCCAGCCGTAAGAATGCATAGTGCATTGTGACACAAAGTGTTTTGATGAGCTAAAACACAATCATATTCTTGAAGTGAAACAGGTAGGTGTTTGAACATTTTTCATTATTTTTGTCAGAGTAATTTGGAGTACATTCATTCTGAAAGAAGTACGAGTCATTTAAAGTTGGCTGGTATGTAGGCCCAAAAGATGGTTGAGAAAATAATTTGGACCTTGTGGGGTATCATTGCATATTGTACATGTGCTCCTTGTTTGGCAACAGACTATTTATACTTTGCTAGGCCAGAGTAGCGGTATCCAGACTACTGGTTCACATCGGGTTGGCCTTTTGTACATACATGCGTGCCTGTCTTCCGTTAGTGAAATTAACTTTTTGTCACCAAAATAAAAATAAATGTATGTCAGGATCTTGTAGTGAAAGTGATATTAGATACGACCCCAAGACAATGATTAACTATTTGAGGAAAACTGCATCGGACCTACTTTTGAGGTTCATGGCACCACACCATATCCGTCATATTGGTATGAACTGTACCTGTGGCTGTGGTCCAGCTTGATGGCAGCTTGCCTCACAGACAATCAATGGGGCAGTCCCTGTGAAGCAGTCCCCCATTGCTGTCCTAAATTGAAGTTACTTTTAAAGACAATTGATTCATTCAAGCAATTCTCCAAAAATCTTGTTGGCATGTCACTTATCGACCATAGGACAGGTTTGAAATCTGCCTTCATTGTGTTGAAAAATTTTGTTCAGGTACGGTTCAATGTGCTATTGCAAAGAAATCTGGAAACACCAAGTCTGGATGTTTGCGGACACTCCTGTCTAAAACCAACTATGCAATGCCAGGGTGTGTTTTTTGTCATGACAAAAACTTTAAAAATCACCCGCTTAAACTTACAGGAATTAAATGGTCAAAAATGACATTTTGAGCCTGCTTTCACTGTGCAACTCACACATAACCACCCTAGGCATGGAAGGTTATACAGGTATGTACATGTACATGTACTGTATTTACTTCTGTATTTCCTGGTGATGTTTCACAGTCACTTGCATATCATTAAGACATTATGACTGTTTCTAAATTGGCAAAAAAGGTTTCCTAAGCAGCCCATGTTTTTGACATTTTTCCACCAGAAATTGGAAAGGCGTGCCATTTTTAATGCTTATTTCAGAAGATACCATTGTCATTTTAAGAAGGCAAGGTTCCTTATTCATATTTTCTTGCACATTCAGCACTATTTTAAGATTGATTTTTTTTTTTATGGTTTCCATGACTGTTTGTCTTCCTTTTGTGACTCATAACGTTAACCCAAAGTGACTCTAAACTTTGTTCCAGAAAGGGGTACTCTTGTGTGGACATGGCTGTAGCTTAGTTCAAATAAGGTTTGCACATTCTGCATTATTTGGCCCTCATTTGTTCAAAAGTCCATACTAGGTGTGTGCAGTTAAGAGGAACACTCCAGGAAATCATCATCAAAATATCCAGAGTTATCAGTCAGAGAGAAAGGAGTATTTTCCCATAGTGTTCTTATAAATCAAAAGAGAGCAAATGAATGTCTTACATTATGAAACAAGCATACATGTATGTGTACACCTACTTGTCATAGGTTGTGGGGGCTACACACATGTTTACATGTAGGAATCAAACCATTTGTGGTGACAAATTTCTTTCCCCCTACTCAATTTTCACTTTCCTGGCAAAAGAAAGCATCCTTTAAATGCAGCAGTGTTTGTTTCATTTTTATCAGCTACAGTCCCCCCTGTGGTTTACTTTGCACACAAAACATTTTTTTAAAAAGACTTTGTCACAAGTTCCAAGAAGTTAAAGATGACACAAAAATAAACTCATGATTGTGCTACTACCAAGAGTGTGCAGCACTTTCAAATTTGAAGCTTGATACCAATATATCCCTGATCCCTGAAGTTGTTCACGCAAGTTCATTACTTTCATTGAGAGTAAGCATTTTTATGCACCGCAAAAGAACTAACATTAAAATAAAAATATAGCTTAATTGAACTGGTGAATTGCATGAACCTACTCAAATAATGTGATGAAAATGCATTTTCAAACATTTTACTGACTTAATAAAGAAAGCATGTAAATGTGCAATATCTCAGTATTTAATTTTACATATGGTTTGCTATTTCTGTGACATAAATTGTACTGTGATTGAATGAGTAAGTAATAAGAAAGATTTGTTTCAATTTTCCATGTGCATACAAAAACTCTTGGACAGGGCTGAAATATATCATATAAGAAACAACTTTTCACCATGTTATGAGTCATGCAGTTGATGCCTACAGCAAGTTCCTAAATAACATTTCTTTTAAACTACTAATGGTCAATTCCCCGCATTGAAAGTTTCTAGTATGAGTCACATTTGAAAAAGAATATTTTACCAAACCTATTCATTTTTAATGTGTGGCTTTGCTGAAGTATGGCATTACATGTATTTTCCTTCTTAAACAAGATTTCTTTTTATTGCTCTTAAAATATCATTTCATTTTACAGCTATTTTAATTACATAAACAGTTGATTAGGTGTAAAACATACATATTCATGCATGTCAAAGTAGAAATTAATGAGTATAATACACTCCAACAATGTCATCTTAAAACACTAACTTCCTACAAAATGGGGTCGTGTGCCTTTCTCTTTCTCATTTATAATATAGGTACAAAGAATGTTCCATTTACGTGTATCTTCAAAGTTTGAGAAAAATAAGATAGCACACCTGAAGTTACATTAAGTGCTTGATGACAAAATGAAATGTAAATTATTACCCAATTTACAAAATGAATGTGTGGTGAACAATTATTTATCAACTCTGCTCGCTTGATTTTCTGAAAATGAAGTTTGACGCATTTGCTGTCACAGATTACTGAAAGATATTTTCTTTTCTTTTCTTTTGAAAAGGGAGACCGCAGAAGTGCCACATGACAGAAAACTCCCAGCAGGCTAATGTATCACTGAATCTACGTACTTGAACATGATACAAATCCAGAAGCAAGTGAGCATGCCAAACCACTTATGCTCATTCAAGAAAAAAATTTGAAAACATAAGGAGCCATCTTCTTAATGTTTTCCTTTGCACTGATTTTTTTGCCGAGGGGTGAGGATTTAGATATAGTTTCAGTTCAAAGTAAAATGGAAAAAAATTAGAGATGGAATTGTTCAGGTCCCCCCAAATTAAGGCCTAAAACCAGAATTGAGAATGTCCACTTTTGATTTAAATGAGTTTTGTCCACCATTTCAGATATACTTTGGTACAGTTTATGTATTAGTAGTGTCTTTGTTCAATATATATTTATCCAAAAATTGGTTGCAGAAAACTTGAAGATGGGGGTATCTGTCTCAGAAAGATTATAACATTTCAACCACAAGCACCGATACATTGGAATTTGTCTCTAGAAGCAGTTTTCACTCACCCAGTTCTGGTTTAAACCTCAAAATATTTATCACTTTTATTTGCTGCCATATCTGGCTAATAGAGTTGTATCAATTATTTCTGATCAAAACAACTGAAAGGGTCTTTCATTTGTTGCAATGAACCAAACTGAAGTTCTTGCATTGACAAGTTGGTTGTGTTCATGTATATTGGCAATAGCTAGCAATTCAAGAAAGATGTCTTTCTAGCTTTACTCTGGATGTTGAGAGATTAAATGAATTTTCGAGTCATGCTCATGGTAGGTACTTTTTAAATGTCAGCAAATATTTTCAATTCTCCATTTGATTTGTCAAATGTTATCATCTTGTCATCTTTGCTTTTAATACTGTACCTTTTGTCATAGTTTTTCGTTTGGCAAGGTCCTACTGGCTTTATCCATTGTGCATTATGAACTGTTTAATTGAAACTGTAACAGCAATTAGCCAAGTCTGCATCCTTATGTCCAAATTCTTTAAACATTACAGAAGGATCTTTCTTGTGATTATTTGATGATTGTCCAGTTCAATTTAAATAATAATTTAAATAATAACAATGTGATTTCTGTACTTTGCCATCCGTCCAGAGTTTCACCCTTGTAGCTGTAAGATTCAAAAATGACTAGGTTAGACCAGGTGATTCCAAGGTGCAATTTTTGGCAGCCTATACATATTTTTGGACAAATTTATTTTTTAAATTCATGTATCTGTGCCCAGTAAAAAGACCAAATTGCAGATACACTAGTGATGTGTGCAATATCGTATTAACACACTTGTGAGGTTTTCAGTGGAATGATTTCTTGTCATCTGTTGTGGTACTTAGTGGGTTAAATATGAGCATGTCACGGTATATGTTACCATAAAATGTTCTTCTGAACAGGTTTCCAACACAGGTCATTATGTCCCTTTTATGTTCATTTAAAATAAAATTTCCTTCACAATGTATCCATTCACCAGTACCAGTAACCATTCACTGTAAGTTGTTAATTATTTCACAGTCCTGGTAGTCAATAAGGAATTACTATTTGTGATACTTGCTGAAGTTTTCTTTTGATATGCACTTGGTTTTGAATGGTTTTAAGTTTTGATATTAAAAGTGAAACTCAAATTGACTAATGATGGTGTGGAGTCAGTGTTAGGTTGTGGCTTGGGAGCTCTGCAGTAGGTGCATTCACTCAAGCCAACAGGTTTATAAATATTTATATTTTCAAGTGCAATATTTGGTTTTTGAAATGTAGAAAAGTTACTGATGAAATGATGAAAATCATGAAACTGCCATAGGTAAAGTACAGTGTATCAACACATTAGCTTGACAACTTGATGATTCGCTTTATATGGACGGGTAATGATGCTTAAAATGTGAGATGGAAACAGTGGCTGATATTTATTCATTTAAAAGTTGTGCTTACCTGGGATTTCAAGCTAACAATCTTAAAATTTGTCACGTTTGAAGCTTTTACTGACAAATTGAGGAGTGCAGGGGAAATTGGCTACAAGTTCTGGACTGTGACCAAAGATGTTCATTCCTCACCAACAATTGCATTCCAACAATGGTACTGTTGTTTGTATTGCTTACAATCATGTAGAATGAGCAAGAAGGTTAGGACAGTTAACCATATTAGCATGTTTCCTTAAGTATAAACTCATTGACAAAGTTGAAAGTATTTTCATTTAGAAATTTTGTACTTAAACATTATTTATAACAGTATCAAATTGAAAGAAAGTTCGAAACAGCACTTAATAAGTATTCTGTATTTATTCGTAAATTGAATTGTGTGTACACATACGTATATTTGTTGAATTTATTCTACTTTAAAGCAACACTTACAGATATGCCTGTGTTTGTGGGTATTTCTACTTACTGACATATCTTTCAAAGCGGAATGAGATACAAAGTTTAACACGAATTAGTTTTTGTTTTCAAACTTTGCTTGGAAGATCATAGAAAACATATGGAAAGAGTTTGAATGTGAGGTTGATTTATCTTGAAAGAGTAAGCAAATATCACTTATCTGCTCATCTCATGCGGTCATAAACTGATTCAGATTTTGTTAGGCTATTGCGTTGTTTTGTATGTATGAAACATCACTCCTGCTTCACTTCACTGCCAGTAAACTTGCTTTGCGCATTTTCTTTGTATTCTCTTTGACACTTATTTATCAGAAAATTTAAAAGTATACTTTTCATTTGGCAAAGAGTTTATAACGTGAGTTGTTATTGTACCTCAAATGAATTGCACACAGAAAGGTTATAACACAGTAAAATGCACCGTGATATATAAATTGTATTTAACAGGTCAGAGGACTTGTAGTACTTATTTATTTAAAAAACACATTTATATTTATCATTATGAAGAATTTAGTCAGCGATTGCACTGTAGGTATCAATGTTTATTTAAGAGTAGCATGAAATAATCAAAGTCTAACTACATTTGAAATGAGACTTTCTGCATGTACATTTTGCTGAGTAATACATAATTCAAGGATTACCCAATTCATTCATAGAATAGGTGAAGTAGAGATGAATCAAGATTGTAGGTAGCATTTACTAGTCAGAAAGCAGGCTGTACCTAACTTGCCCTATCTGTAGAAATATATATGAGTAGAAGATAATTTTATAGGTAGGATACTAAAATTACTATGCTATTATGTAGACAGGTACTTGCATTCAAAATAAATTAAGCTTTGTATTTCTTGATATCTGCACAATGTGAGTTTGGATCATACATTTTCATTCACTTTGAATACAAATTTTTTACCAACCTTTTGGGATTGAATTATGACAGAGACTTATAATGATATGCCTTTATTTTTTAACATCACATGTAATTCTGGAATATGTGTATTAAATGTTGACCACTTTTGAATTTCTTTCTAGTGGTTGTGGTACACCAGGTCTAACATATTTTAATTGGTAAAATAGTTTGTGATCTTCTTAAGTTGTGCCCATTAGTGGTTAATGGTGGTGGTTGTGATGGTTGTGATGGTGATGTATTGTGATGGTGAATGTATTGCACATTTGACTAACTGAAACAGGCCATGCCTCAAGTTGTTCACCTGCTGTCGTTTAATGTACCGTAACAGACTCTTCATTCATTGTGGTATTTGAGGAATTATCGTACTTCCAACTTAGATGAGTAAGTTTGTAAATCTAATCTTACTGTAGCCTCAGTTGTCTACCATAACCCTTGAATGAAGATGATTTATTCCATGATCAGACGGCAGTGTGAAAGTGAACAGCCATTCTATCCAATTTTGGGAACTTGTTTTATAAAGACTAAAGTGTACAAACTCACAATGTATGAGACGGTTCCTGTGCAGCTGGAGCCATATTGTGTTTGTAAAGAAGTTGTTTTTTTTTTCTTTGTAAAGAAATACAGTCTAGTGAAGTAACTGCTGTAATGCGAAAGAGCTTTTGATACACTATACTTTTTTAACATTGTAGACATGGAAAGTGCAGATCCAACTTACAGTGTGCAGAGAGGAAGGGTATTATATTAATTAAGAGTTAAAATATCAGGATATTTAGGACAATGTTGAAAATTATAACTGTAGCACGATTTTCACAGGTAATAGTTATAGTTAATTTAGTAGATAAGTGTCATGCCAAAAAGTTGTCATAAAGAAAAAAAATAAATTTAAAAGAAGCGAAAGTGTACATTGACAAATAACGGCTACAAGTGGAATGATAATATTTGTGATTTGTCTTAAAATTTGCTTTTCCCATAGAATGTTAAAGTTAGAAAAAAAGGAATGCATACAATTATATTTTACTCACAGTTGTGAACTTTGGCAATGAATTTTGGCAATGTTTTAGGTTGTGTATACTTAACATACACTTTTAAAGGTTCATTATAAAAGGCAATTCAATGTTAAAAAGGACATTTCATTATGTACTTCACAAAGTTCAAGGTGTTAACGGCTTGATAACTCTTTTCTTATTCTTTGTTTCATCTCAAATGAAAACAGTTAAAGTTTGATAATTCATAACCAGCTGAAACTGACAGGTTTCTGTGACATAACGGCCAGTGTGTTTTCATACTTAGTAGTGAATAAGCTAAAAGCTTTCAACTATTTGGATGTATGAAGAAAAAGGCAAACAGTATATTATGTTTTGTTTCACAACTTTCAACTGTAAATAAAATTCAAATCTGATATTTGGTTTCATCTAAGAAGAAAAATGTCAAGTTAATTATAGATTGCTTAGGAAAATGAAATAAAGCCCACAGCACAGCACTGACAGCAGGCAAGCTTTTTGTTTCATTTCTCGCTGCTAGTAATATTCATATAGAATACTATACTTCCCATCTGATTAGCTATGGCTTCACGAAAAGCGCACAAATCCTGGACGCCAGCTTCGCACCCAGGATTTGTAGAGGGAATATAATTATGGGTACGGACATCATGTAGAAAAATTTGAACTCGCAATGTCCTTAATCAACCCACTTAGGTTGTTGAAGCCGGTGGCCATTTTACAGTGCGGAATAAAAATGTAATACAAAGGCTTGCTCGCCAGTGTTAAAATTATTCTCGGCAACAACAAGGGGCGAATCATACCTCACGCAAAAGCAAACGCGAATTTCTGACGTCAGCTGAAATTTTCACGTTGCGAATTTTTTCGTGAAAGTTGAATACATTTCAATTTAACGCAGTTGTCCCGTAAAATTCCCTTCGCTTTCGCATTCGCCTGAAGTATGCACCGGCCGCGAATACTTGATGCCTCATAAATTTGCGTTCGTTTTCGCTTTCGCGTGAAGTGTGAACCGACCTGTAACCCTAAAAGAGCCGGTTTTTTTATGGCCTTGTCACAGCCGGGGGAATCTCCCCCCCCCCCATCTCGGCCATACGATGATGTATTTCAATGAAATCTGGCAGTGCCATAGAGGCACACATATTAATCATCTTATATGTAAATTAATTATTTTTTGCATATTATGACTCATTAATTATTCATTATACCAATTGTTTATGTTTTTTCGATTGTGAGGCGATTTTATTACATTTTTCACAACAAAGATGCTATATGGATTGTATATTCAGTGGAAAGGAAACCAGAGATGCTATGAGCTGTATACAGTAACATGCATAAGTTAATTATACAATTGATAGACCTTCCCAAAAGGAAGAGACCTCCTGACAAAAGGAAACCACTGCCCTTTGTACGATGTACTTCTGTGTACAAAGTCAATGGTAAATTTCACATACTTCACCCTGCCTCCTAAAATTCTTCACTGAGAGAGCACCACCTCCAATTTTTCTGAGTTCAGTGTCAAAATGAGGCTAATACATTTGAAAACAAATTGTCATAAAGTATTAGCACGCAGAAATTAAGGCCCGAAACAAAAATCAACAGGGGACGGATTCTGTCCCCCAGCTCTTTGAGGGTTAAGGCATCATTTAATTGCTAATCAGCATGTACGTGATCTGGGCATTGCCAAGATTTTTCCGGGGAGGGCGAAGTACTTTATGGGGGGTTAAGGGGGAGCAAAGCCCTCATCAGTCACGAACTGATGAACATTAATAGTTTTGGATGTTAATTTGAAAAAACATCTTTTTTATCCATGTTTTATTTTCAAAATTTTCCAAGGCAGTGGGGGAAACAAGCGCCACCCCCTTCCCCCGACGTTTATGCATGGTATACATGTATGTTCCGCCAACATCTCGTGAAGTTAGTGCAATGCTTGTGCGTATGGCATAACCGAAGTAGCGAAAACCGCCAATACCACAAATGGAACATGTTTCTGGTTGCGGAAAACGACTGAATGCGACAATTTTATACTTGAAATGTTGTCATATCAGTATTGTCTTCCTGGCAAACTTGAATTCTCAGTTTGATTGGTTGATCCATGGCAACAAATAGTCTTACAATTAACAATTGTTGACTGTGGTGTAGGATCCATGGTATTTTGTTCACCCGAGGGACAAAGGGCTCTTGAGGTAAAGTTGAGGGTGCCATTTTCCCCCAAGGGTGTACAAAACCCACTGACCCCGTCATAGCACGCAACAATAATGTTTGGTTATGCCACGATCGTAGATAATGAATATTAATTCGTCTCGAGTTGATCACATTATATGCTACTAGCGCGCATGTATCACGCGTCGCGCGCATTTGCGATGTTGATGGGCCACAAAAACGATGGACAATGGTTATCTTTCAAACAGTAGATGTATTGTGCCCACTGCGCTGTAATTGTGTAATCTTGGGTACGACGGTGGTAGCCGCGGTGGTACTTCGCGTTGGTTATTGTAGGAATTGTGCTGCGTCGGAGACATCGAAGCACTGCGTGTAATACCCGCATGCAAATACACATTGTGTATTTGCACTTATTGCGACGCAATTTTGCTGGCTATCCGGTTCGTAAGTGACTTTGTCACAAAGGCGGACGTGCCACGATTTGCAGGCTCCCATTGGACGATCGCTGAAGTTGCGCGTTAACTTCCATGTAAACTGCGATCAATGCATGTAACTCTATGTGCAGTGGACGTGGTTTAAACTGAAGTGACGTCACACTTACGAACCGGATAGTGGAATTCGACAACCAGAATTAGAAGCCATTACTGCGGTGGCACAACGCTCGTGGATAGGTGATACGCGCGCGTTACATAATTCTGCAACCAAGGGGATGTCGTGATTTACCAAATGAACGTCAAGCTGGAGAATGTGCATGTGAGTGCCGTGCCACTGCAGTTGATGGCGTCCAATCATATTAGTGTATAGACTAATCCGATTGTACCATAAGAAAGTGACGGTTCGACGCGACTGCACAATGTAAGGGAGCTAAATGTATCATCAAAAGGTTTCATCTTTTGTCTGTTATTGGAAATCTGTAGGTTGGTTCAACATGACCTTTTTTTACCGAATTTTTGAAAGTGTTGAAAAAAAATGGTTTCGCACAAAAATATTTCGGTCGTATTACGGATGGATGCCTGTCTTAACTTAGCCAGCGCCCAGTTAGCGCATGGGGGGTACCCATTTAGATACGTGTACTTTCCAGTGGGAAAATATTTCTTGAGAGAAAATTAGTCTTCATCCCGCTAGTGCCTAGTGGAAGCTTCCTCCGTTGCAATGTCCTTTCCTTTGAAAACAAATCATTCAGAGCCGCGAAGTGAGTCTTTATTCAAGTCGAGTTTACCCAGCGTACGAAAACCCTGGAGTGCCGTCAATTTATTATATATTCTAAAAAAGTGTATTTTCTCCAAGTTCGTTTTCATGAAGTATTTTTTTGTTCAACCTAATTTTGGCGAGATATATTTTTCTCTGGTTTGTTCGAAATATATTCTCCGTTTCATTCCCATTAAATCTATCAATGGAAAAGTTGTTTCTATTTTTGGAAACAAATCAGTTTTACGCGATATATTTTCCAAGTTCGCTTTCAGGAGATTTGTTTAAGGAGTTTTTATGAGTTATATTTTTGAAGCTCGTTTATGTGAGAACTAGTCCAAAGCTTGATGGAAAAAAATGGAGAAATATATAGAGTTAAAACGATTCGTTTCAATAAACAGTGTTTCTAAATGTACTAGTACTCGTTGGAACGAACTGGGGAATGTATATCTTAAACAAATGAACTTTGGGAAATATTATCTCGTACAAACGAAGTCGGAAGAACAGTCTCCTAAAACGGACTTCGCCAAAATATTTATTTTTATATATATATATGTGTTCAATGATTTCAATGTACAGAAGACGGGACAGACCACTTGAGGATATGGGTACCATATTTAATGTTGGGCTAGTGAAGACGGTAAAAAAAACGGACATAACCAAAAGACACATTTAGAGACTTTACTTGTAATTTATTACGCAAAAGTGTTAAATGTTGACAGGCCGAGGAACGTCATGTTATGAAAAGTAAAAATAACATTCTCCATTAAAATTCATTCCTCCGTTACTGATTTTTAAGAAGTCGTTCAAATGAAGTAGAAATTACTTCTGGAAGATTTGACGTTTGGAGCTGTTTAAATTGCTTTAAAAATTAAAAAAATACATGAAGGTGCTGTTAAATGCCAAACATTGGGGTCGATCCCAACCTCGTTCCCATGGGTTCGATCTTGCCGCGCCATGTCGGTTCCCACCATGCCTTGTGCTAGAGAAGGAATGCGCACACAGCCAATGGAGTCGAGGTAGAGAGAAACCTGTGGGTGCCTCATTATGGCACGCCGTACGTTTAAGTATTCAATGTTTTCATATACATGTATAGCGTGATTTTCACAATATGTGTTCAGTCAGTTTCATTATACATGTATGTGCAACGGTGCAAACTTTATATGCCATGTCCAAAATATACGTGCTGTGTTTAAGATAATATGTGTGACGTTAATACGTTCAATGTCTAATTTATACATATGCAATGTTCAATTTATGCGGTGTTTGACATTTCATATGCGCAATCTTGAAATAATATTTTGTTCGATATTTTTCATATGTTCGATATTCAGGAGACGTCTTGAGGTCATACAGAAAGTGAAGGAGCCAGACTGTAATACCGAATGGTGGGATAGCAGAATAGAATTTATCCTTGGCTATGGCTTGTTATAATGACACTGCCGCGAGATATCGTACCTAGGTCACCTTGTTCATACACGTTTGTTTTCATTCACCGTACTTCCTTGAAAACGACATTGTAAGACCTTGCAAAGATTTACCTAGCCTACCTGCAGTCGATGGGTTCCAGATTCCGCTGAGTTGACATCACGCAGTTGTTGTCAACAAAGGGTAGATAAAACATTAGAATCTTTCGTAAAAGTAGAATACTGCTTTATGTTTATTACCTTATAAATTATCAAACTGTGTAAAATATTTTGATCTGTTTTTATTTTGGTTTTTACCCAGAGACTACCATAAAATTTCAAACCGTAAATATTCATCTGCGTTCGAGACTGCCGTATTGCTTCATGTATTTTGGATTTTCGGAAGTGATGAGTCAATTTTTGGCAGGATATTTCTCTTTTAGGTCAGGTAATTTTTCAGTTTCTATAAATTGATATACATGTACTAGCAAATATTTTTCAAAGCCCCTTTTCCAAGTTCGAGTTTTTAAGATGAAACTGAACGAAAAAATATTACAAATTCTAAAATCTTTGCACGTTATTTTTCCTATCCAAGGGTTCCGGAAGCCCGCCATCAGGGGTCAACTTTCAGGCTCTATTGAAAGGGCAACACCGGGCCCAACCAGGAATGGGCAACACCAGGCCCAAAGCCACAACGGCATACACGAACAACGAACATACATTATGAAAGATGG